CTGTGGTAAAGTTATAGCCTAAATTGAAACGTTCAATAACTTTAAAGAGGAATTTTCGATCTAGTTTATCAAATGCTTTTTCTTGATCTATAGATATAATAAAACATTTTTTATTCTTTTGCTTAGTATATTCTATTAAGTCTCTAGCCAGGAAAATGTTTGAGTAAATTGTACGCTTAGGAACAGAGCAGGTTTGCGATGGTTCCAGTATTTTAGCAAGAACCTTTGATAGACGAATTGCAAGAGCCTTGGTTATGATCTTGTAATCAGCACATAACAGTGAAATTGGTCTCCAGTTCTTAATTAACTTCAAGCCTCCTTCTTTTGGTAGAAGACTTATTATGGCTGTTCTTTTTGACTATGTCAATTCGTTATTTTCATTAAAGAGTTTTTGGTTTATTAGGTTGGTAAAGTCGGTTCCGATAAGATCCCAGAAACTTTGGTAGAACTCTACTGGTATGCCAACTATTCCTGGTGTTTTTGATTTTGCAAGAGTGTTCACCGCAGTAAACAGTTCATCTCTTGTCAGGTATTCATTTAAGTGTATAGTTTCATTGTTCTTTAGAGAGTTATTTATGTTCTTTAGTAATTTATTTTGTTTTGAATCATCTAGGATACTTCCTTGGTAAAGGTTTTTAAAGAATTTTCTAGTAACTTTGTTAATGCAAACACTGTCTTTATATAAGGTATTTTTTTCGAAGATTTCAGTGATTGTTTTCATTTTCTGATTATTTTTTTCTAAAGAAAATAGTAATTTAGATGGTATTTCGCCATCCTCCACAACTTTTTGCTTTGTTCTTATAAAATGATTAACACTTAGCGTATTTATTTCATTTTTAATGAGTTTTATCTTTTCCTTGTCTTTTACTTGATTTTCCATTTCCTTTTTAAGATTCTTTTCAAGTTGATTTTGATGGTATTTGTTATTTTGGTTAATCTTAGTGGATCTTGCTATTGCAATTTCTTTAATATAATACTTGAAGATCTCCCACCACTGGTTTAAACCTTCGTAACAGCGTTTTGAATCCTTTAGGCTTTTAAAGGAGTTGGTTATGTTTTTTCTAAAAACTTCATCCTCTAATAGGGTTACATTCAGATGCCAATATCCTGAGCCTTTCTTCTTACGGAGATACTTTTTTTTTTTTTACCGAACCAACTAGAGGCAGCTGCTGCTGAAACCAGACTTACACAGGACCCTAGAAAGCCGGTGTTATTTGGGAGCTGAGACTCCGTCTTTAGCCCTATTAAAGGTTTAGTTGCCACTCAGCCGAAACTGAGCAGCGCCAACTTAATGGTTTATCGCCATTTAACGTCCGGAGTGGACGGATCGCTTTGAAATTTCCGGACGTAGAAGGAGACATTGAAAAAGCGACTACGTCAAGAACCTCTATCGACTGTCACGGTTTAGATCTTGTGCTGTTTCTGCCTCCAAACAACACTGTAACCAATTGTGAGATGGTCCGGAGCCGAAATAAGAACAGATACTACACTTGATCTTAGCCATTAGGCCGAGAAGCGATCTTACGGAGATACTACAGTTACGCAGATACAACACCAACCACAGACATCAATAATTAAACTGTAGCCATCTAACTTGTAATATAACTTTGTTTTTAATTGTGGTTTTGAAATTTTCAAAATAAGGAAAGTGGAAAACCCTAAAACGGAAAACCTATAAATAGAAAACCCCACGGTTGTTTAGATATTAGTAAAAAGCGCTATGTTTAGGTACTAAACATAGCGCTTTTTACTACAAAATACAAAGGTTTTTTGTATTTTTTTAGGTTCTAAGAAAATACAAAAAACCTTTGAACTTTTAAAATGGCTACGGTTCTTAACTACAGAGAATATTTTATATGGCAACAGACTATTTGTTAATTAATTTCTGAAAAGCTAATGATTTAGCCTTATTTTTAACGTAAATCAATATAATGATACAAAAATTTCACAAAAATATAAATAAATAAAGGAAACAAAAATCTTTACGCGCTTAAACTTTATTTTTATTTAATACCTTTTTCAATGTAAATCATAGATTTGTTTATCTATTTGAAATCAATTTTCTAAAAATCTGACTATAAGATTTCAATAATATATTTTTTTTACTTTAGATAAATATGTTCTATATGCATGATATTTTTCTGGTCAACTTTTTTTTAACATAAAAATTTGTTTTTACTGTTATGACAAAATGCAATTCCATTAATTATTTTGTTAATTACTATTTTTTGACTATATATATATATATATATATATATATATATATATATATATATATATATATATATATATATATATATATATATATATATATATATATATATATATATATATATATATATATATATATATATATATATATATACAGTATGGTGCAAAACTGAACCAGAATGCATAATATTTTTATTTTCTTATAAAGAATTAAGCATTTTGAGAATTAATATTGCTGGTAGGAACTATTATTAAAAAAACAATTTTTATTAAGTATTTATTGAAGAAAAATATTTACTTACAAAATAATAAATAAAAAACATGGTGAATCACTTTTGCACCACGATAAAAAAACTGTCAATTTTTGTAAATTTTGTCACTTTTTAATATTTTGTCCATAATCCTTTAGCTTTTTTAACTGCTGCTAATCTTCTATTTATGCTCTTTACAAGATTTTCGCAAAGGTTTAACGAAATATTTTTCCACTGTTCTTGAACTCGTTCATATAACACATTAATGGATGATGTAGGATCAGAATAGTTATTAACGAGCGCTTTTTTTAATTGTGACCACAAATTTTCTATTGGGTTCGAATCAGCACTTTGTGCTGGCCATTCTAGCACTTGAAAGTCCTGCGAAGCTAACCAATTCTTAACCATTTTAGCAGTGTGCTTTGGGTCATTGTCCTGTTGAAAGATGACCTCATTTATTGGGTAAGGCATATTTTCAACAGTTTCCAATAATTCATGCTGTAAAATATCAAGATACATTTCCTTATTCATGTTTCCAACAATTCTTCGAATAGGTCCCAATCCATAAGCCGTCATACACCCCCATAGTTTAATATTGCCTCCCCCATGTTTTACTGTCTGAATAAAATCTTTTTGGGTTAATGGTTCACCTTCTCTTTTCCAGCTCTGTGCTATACCGATTAATTTTAGTTTCATCTGACCAAATAACTTTCTTCCAATCATCTTCGGTAAAGTTTTCATATTTTTTTACAAAGTTTAATCTTGCTTTGATATTTTTTTTACTAAGTAATGGTTTTTTCTTCTTTTCAATTGCTCGAAATTTACTTTTTATGAGATCTCGCTGCACTGTCCACCTGCTCACATTTTTTCCTGTATCACGTTGCAAAAGTTTAGCTGCATGCGATGTTGATTTTGCTTCTCCAGTAGTCAAATATCTGATTACTCTTCTACTGTCTACCGCACTCAACTTCTTTGGTCGACCGCCAACATTTTTTTTCAGAATATGTCCACATTTTTTTCTAATTCGTTGCACAGTACTTTGACTAACTTTTAATTTATAAGCAATTTTACGAGTTGTATTTCCTTCTTCGATCATCTTTTTTATTAAATTGCTCTCTGTCTTTGAAATTCTCATTTTATTAAAAAACTATCAAAAGCAATAAATTTAAACAATAAAATTTATGAAAACAGAAAATTATTTTAGATATAAATATAGTCAATTTATTTGCACTCAAAATTATAAAATTAATTTGAGAAAAATAATAAAGATATTGCCTTCATCAAGTATGGTGCAAAACTGAGTCAAAAGATATTTGTCACTAGATAAAAATACTTGTGAATTGGGGTAAAAGGAGGAGGCGTAAAAAGTCATAAAAATTAGCACTTTACTACTGTAATAATCCAGACAGCGCTAATATATCGAAAACAAAATAAACCATAATTTTGTATTTTTTTAAAAACTCTGGTTCAGTTTTGCACCTTACTGTATATATATATATATATATATATATATATATATATATATATATATATATATATATATATATATATATATATATATATATATATATATATATATATATATATATATATATATATATATATATATATATATATATATATATATATATATATATTAATTTTATTTATTTTGAGTTCAATAATAATAATTATTTAAATAATAATTTATTTAGAATTAACATTAGTAATATTCATTCAAAATCATACAAATATATAATTAATCATATGCTTGTAATTAAATAATTATTTACTCTGTGAAGTGAAATTTTTTATTTTTTTATTTATCTAACTGATTAACTACAGCGCGTGAAAATAATTTATTTTTCTAAATATAATTAACCGCTAATGTGTAATAAATTACAGCGTTATGGAATCAGAGAATAAATGACCTGGGTAACATTTAGATTGTCTAAAAATGTGAACTACTTTTGTTTTGCAGAAAAAAAAATTTTACATTTTTCATTACCTTACAGACCGTATCAATATATTTTGTAGGGGATCATTTTTGAAAAACCGAGGCAGTTTAGAATACTAAATAAGTTAATTTCTAGATTTATGTAACAAAATTTTAGTATAACTTAACAACTAGATCCAAAAGTCCAGTTACTTTATGAAATACATTCAGCCATAAAGCAAAAGACAAAGTTATATTAGAGTAAGTGTTAGTTTCGAAACAATTCGATAAATGCCTAATGTAAAAGCAAATAACTTATAGGAAGAAATGATAGTAGTTGATAATGTCTATCCCCAGCAATAAAAGAATTAATGGTCAGATCAAACTCACTTTTTTTTTGTTATTTAGGTACCCCTAAATAACAAAAAAAAAAAAAAAAAAAAAATATATATATATATATATATATATATATATATTTATATATCAATTTGTATCATAAAACATCATATCTCTTCGTAAAATTTGTAATTTGATTGGATGAGTATTTTTAAATAAATATATGTTTGATCACAGAAAAAGTTGAATTTTATGTTCTCAGCTTTCAATAAAGTTAAATGTTTAAACAACTGAATTCATTTAAGGACACTATAAAAATTTTTGGCTTTACAAAAATTAATAAACTAAAACTTTAAAACAGAAGAAAATAAAAATGATGAAATTTTTGGTTTTGCTTCTTTGTTTTGTGAGCCATGTTACTTTAAGTTGGGTTCCAGAAATGGAGAGTAAGTATAAACTCAGAAAGTTAGAAAATGTAAACTTAGTAAGTTTTAAACCATTTGGTTGTAATATTTGTTATTTTATTTGATTTTAGATAAAAATCTTTTTGAAGGAGACATGGTGTTGACTCCTGACGATATAAATTCAAATGGTTACGCGAGCATTGTTGGAGGAAGGTGGCCTAACAATATAGTTCCTTATGAATTAAGTAGAATGAGTAAGACCAATGAATTAATGCGTTTTTTAGTAATATTTTAATCATCATAAAGTAATATTGGAAAAGTTTTTTTTAACTTTGTTTCAAAATTTATCTTTATAATTTTTACAAATTAATAAATAAGTAACTTTCATATATTAGTGAATAGCTTAAATTTATTATTAATTTTTACTTTGAACAAATTATGTTTATATTACTTTATAATGAACGAAATTTAAATTCAAAATTTTCTAAATTACTTTTAAAAACTTTTTAATAATTAAAACTTATAAGTCATGAAAACTAAAACTAATTCCATTTATTGTTCACTTTAATTTATTTATTGTTCACTTTAATTTATTTATTGTTCACTTTAATTTATTTATTGTTCACTTTAATTTATTTATTGTTCACTTTAATTTATTTATTGTTCACTTTAATTTATTTATTTATTGTTCACTTTAATTTATTTATTTATTGTTCACTTTAATTTATTAACCATTTTAAATATTATTTTAATAATTATTTTAAATCATTAACCATTAAGAAAAAGAACTGAAGGAAGCGTTAATTTTTTAAACTTGTTTAAACAGCGTTGAAAGTTTTTAAACTTTAGATGTTACATACACAAATGTGTATGTGAATATATATGTGTGTGTATTTCTGTATGCATATGTATATGTGTGTATGTGCATATGTATGCATGTGTGTGTATGTTTATTTTTTAACATTTAATTTTTTTTAGTTGGCTTTATTACATTAATAAATTTTTTTACTTTTGTTAACATTAATTTAATGTCTTGTTTGTAACGTATTTTGTTTGTTGTAAGTTTTTTGTTTTGTCTTTTACACTGTCTTTTTCTGTTTATATTTTATTTATTTCTATATTATATTTGCAATATATTTTCGTTATTATATTATAACAATTATGATTATTAAATTTACTAAATCTTTATCATTTTTTAACAATAGTCGTTTTTATGTTATCGTTATTGCATTCGTCAGTTCATTACTATTTGTAACTGTAACTATATATGTATAAACAATTGTTGTATCCAAGGTAATATTGATTTAATTTAATTATTATAATTACTTTTTTATTATTATTCTTACTATTAGCAGTTTATTTAATATTGCCATCATGAATGTATTGTATTTATTATTATCATATGTATGCATTGTAGTTATTATTATCGGGTGTTCGCTTGAAATTAGTTTATATTATTTGTGAATAACCTTGTCTTTTTTTATTATTATTTCCTACAAGCTATGATTTTTACATGTTTATTTTTCTAATGTTTGTTGTATGTCATAATGCTTATTATTAACCATATTATATTTAAAAATTGGTGTCACTCCTTTGATCAGAATTCTGTATGAGTGACACCATCCTTATAAATCATTAACTTATTATTATAAAATAATATTATAATTAAAACTATTATTATAACATTTATTACTATTTAATTTTTTTTTATTTATTGTTATTTTTGTCCTTTATTATAATTATAATTATAAATTTCTATTACTCTTAATTAATTTGTTATCTTATTATATTTTTATAACTATTATTATTATTGTTTTTATTGTTGTTATTATTATTATTACTTTTATTACTATTGTAATAATGATTATAAATGGAAAATAAATAGTTTGTTGATGTTGACGTTGTTGTTGTTCACAACACTTAACAATTCATTGTTTGCAAAACCGAACAATTCATTGTTCGCTACTCATAACAATTCACTGTTTGCAAATATTTCGAGAGCATTCTTTGTTTACAAAAACATACGAGAAGAATTATTTATAGCACAATAAGATCGTTCATACCAAGCCTTTTATAATAAAAAACAAAAACATAATGAAAATAATTTAATTTAAAATTTATGAAATTTATTTACACTTAGAGTTACATATTACATTCAAATTTTGTTCTAATCATTATAAGAACAAAATTTTGTGGCACATGGAGCCCTTTTTATTTATATATCGCTAGGTGAGAATTATTTTGTTCTATCTCTATTTTTTGAAAAAATCGAGTTATTGATTATGTCATCTACATCAAAATAATGTTTTTCTACTATATTAAAACCTAAAGTTATAATCAAAAAAGTTGCGGAGAAAACATTAGTAATAAAAATCTTTTAATAAGCCGTCTCCTTAAGTTTTTCTCCTTAAGTTTTTTTTAAATCTCATAACTTAAAAATGTGGATAAGATAGAAAAAGGTACTTCTAGGCTCTCAACAATTATGGCAAACATCAGCCATGAAATACAGTGCACCATCGGGCATTTATTTTTCAAAGTTACTTTATAAATGCCTTTTAAACGTTTTTTAAATGTCTTTTAAACGTTCTTTACGTAAGAATGTTTAAAAGACATTTAAAATACATTTAGAACGTAACTTTTAAAAACAAATGCCCGCTGGGTGGTGATTGCCAATAGGCATGAAACTTTTAGTTCGATAAAAAGTTTTTTTCTTAAATTTTAAGTATAAAAAAACGCTTTGTTTTTAAAAATATAAATATTTCTTAAATATTGAGCTTTCTGTTACGATCAAGAGTTTAATATTTTTAATACTAAACTAAACAACAGCTATATATATATATATATATATATATATATATATATATATATATATATATATATATATATATATATATTTTCCCACTAATATTTTCCTATAAACACATTTTATGAGAAACCCAATATTAAAAGATTTATTTATCGCAAAAAAAAAAAAAGACTTATCTATCGCAATAATATCAAAAACAAGAAATAATAGTTAAGATAAGTTAATCAGAAAGTGAAATTTTTTGTTTGAAGAAAATTGATCAAGATTTGACAAATTTTTTTGAAACTTGTCGTTTTCAAACTTAGAAGCTAAGTGAAAAATATATAATTTTTTCAATTTTCAGTTGATTAATTTATAAAATTATCAAAGCTTTAGGAAAAGTAAAACATCAAACCGTAATTAATGAATTCAAAAATAATATTACCCAGAAACCATTATTGATAAGCAATGTATAAGGATCAAAAGCAAAATTTAATACTTGAACATTTTTTCAATATTGTTTGTTTGGAACTAGACATAAAAATTAACTTTTGCCATAAAAAATTGGAAAATTAAAAGTTGTTGTGATATTTGTGTTCTTCAAAAATCTCCGAATGGAAAAAATTACTTTAATTAGCAGAGTAAAAATCATATGCTATTGAGATAAGTAGTTTTGAATGTAAAAAACATATTGGTAAGACTTTGTCGCAGTTACTGCATAAGTAATTTTTGTTGTGGTTTTTTTTTTTTAATTTATTAAAAGTAAGCTTTACATTAAAAAAATAATATACATATAAACAATTTATGAATAATATACATATAAATAAGAATACAATACAAAATCTGTAACTTTACTATAAAGATGCGGATGCTTGCAGAAGATCTTGTCATCGAGAACCACTTAAACAGGTTACAAGTAAATAATATAAAGAAAAAATATTTCTTTTATGTGAAAAAGTCCCTCGGCACAAACTCGGTAGAATATAAGATTCTTATAAAATCTAGCAAATATTTGAGTTAGGCCAAAATTAAATTAACCCACATCATACTTTAAAAAAATCTGTTCTTTGTTTTAAAATTGCTAACATATTATTGATTATTAAAATGATTATGTATAATCTCTTCAGAGTACTTAAGACACATATACGAAAATGTTTTTAGTTTGAAAAATATTTTTTTTAATATATTTATTTCATACTTTTGGCATTTGTAAAGGTATGGCAACTTTTTTAAGATAACTTTGTTTCCATATAGGTTCATCAAATCATATCCACGTTTTAAGAGCAATCGATGAGTATCATAAACACACATGTCTCAAGTTTGTAAAAAGAACAAACCAAGATGCTTATCTGAGCTTTTATCCTGGTGGAGGGTATGAAACTTTTTATTAACAAAATTTATCAAAGCTTTTAACATTCAAAAACTCTAAACAAATAACTAAAAAAACAAACGTTTTTTATTTATATGGCTAATTTCTTGGTGCCTCTTAAACTTTATTTAAGTATTCGGACGCTCACATACTTGACTATAATTCTCTATAAACTAGATTTTCCGGCTTTCAAGCAGCTGGGCATACCTAACTATAACTTACTAAATAGGTAATTTAAGTACTTCTAACTAAAGAAAAACTACAAAAAAAAAACTTTAACATATTTTATGCTTAAGTTTTTAATTATATATTTTGTAATGATAAATAAAGTTTGCTTAGCAAGAAATTTTTTAAAAAAAGGCGAGAATTAGGTATGATTAGAACTAAATTTCATTGTAAAGTATAACCTATAATTAAATTATAATATCTTAATACATTACTTTTATTGATTTTTTTTTTATCTATATCCATTTTGACCAGTTAGTACATTAAAAAAGTAGTGTAGTACAACGATTACAAGTTAAACACTAATTTGTTTTAAGTAATACATGTCACTATTACGTTTGAAGTAATGCATCAATGCGCAGATAAGATGAATGCTCTTTTATATTTCATTTTCATTCAATTATTTTATTATCAAATTGTTAATATATGTTTATAGAGTAAAATTTCATGAACAATTTTATTTTTTTTTTACATTTATGGTTTATATAATTTATAACCCATTTTTAAGAAGTCACTCTCAGTTTACATTAAGGAAAATTGAAGTCTTAAAACTTTAGACTTTTATATTTTTGATGCAAACCAAATGCCTGTTTTTATATTTTAGCTCCAGTTGTAAATGTAAAGTAAGTTTTGTCTAAGCGGAAACCTGCTTTTACCTAAAATTAACGATAAGCATCAGTCGCATTGTTACATGCCTTTAATCAAAAAGATATAATGCATGCGATACAAATTAAACTGCACTTAATGAGTCAATGCTTTGCTAATCAATTAAGAAGTTTTATTTGCTCCCAAGCACTTCTGGTAATGTAAAAAAGCCTTGTTCTCTTGTGATATGTATCCAGTTAAAAAATATGGCTAAGAAGATCTAAATTTCTTTAGTAAAATGTTTTATAAATAAGTATAAATACAAAATAATGTAATATTGTATAAATACAATTAAATGTAATGATAAAAAAAATATTATAAACACAACACGAATGTAAAGGGATATAATTAAACTTTTGAAGTTGACGTTTAATTAAATAATATATAGTGACAACATTATTAAACATTAAAATCTACCGAATATTTATTTAGATTTATTGAAACTATTTTATGTTGCCAGTAAATAATTAATGCATTAACATTAACCTGATTGAGAGGTCAGCGTTATTTAAAATCATGTGATCTTTTTTGCTGCCTTTTATTTGCTGCTTTACTTGAAAATAAACCGAATGGCGGTGTGATTAAAAAAATGGTAACACAAAGTTTAGAAATTTCAGTAACTTATGCATTGACGTTTTACAAAGCACGTTTTACACACACACATATATATATATATATATATATATATATATATATATATATATATATATATATATATATATATATATATATATACACACATATATATATATATATATACACATATATATATATACATATACATATATATATATATATATACATATACATATATATATATATATATATATATATATATATATATATATATATATATATATATATATATATATATATATATATATATAAACTGGTAGTTTATATCAATATCTCTCACGTTAAGTTGTTCCTCGCTAGTCGGTTATGTACGAGGAAGAATAAACGATGTTTCATTAGCTGGTGGTTGCTTGCGACTTGGTACAGTAATGCATGAAATTGGACATAGCATAGGTAAAGTTACTAGTCAAAATGTTAAGAACTTTTTTGAGAACAATATTTTCCAGATTGAAAATAATACATTCATTTCTATTACCGTTTTTAACCATTCATCCCTACTTCCCTTTTTTATTATTTTATGTTATTTACTTTTTTTGAAAATATTCTTAGGTTTATATCATGAACAAAGCAGGCCTGACCGTGATGATCATGTGACTATAATTTGGAATAACATTCAGTCAAGTAACTTGTTTTTACTTTAATGTGTTTGATATATGTGCAAGCTCATTTAAATTTTATTCTAATTTTTTCGGGGCTGTTAAGCAAATTAAAAAATAAAAAAATTATTCTATACTCATCTTTTAAAAGCACTGACTTCAGTTTATATCTTAATTTTAATATAATGGAATATTTTTTGATACTTAATTACGTGTGCAAAAACACAAACTTTGATCAAAGAAAATTTATTTTATAAATAAATTATACAGATTAGTAATTGTTAATTATTAATAATTAAATATTTACACTTTCTTAAAACTTAAAATATAAACATTAATATCCCAACCGGCACATCAAGTTTCGGAATTAAAACCTGTAATGACAAGTGTTTGTCACGATCTAGGCGTATACCAAAAACACGTATATGTTACGGGCAGTTTTACTCAAGTTCAACACGTGTTTTTTGACGTTTAAAAAATCAAATTTAATTGTGGCATGTTTTTGTCAAAGATTTCACTATACTTACGGAAAGTTATTATAATATAATACTACGTTTACGTAACGATGAAACCAATTATACTTTAACTGGTATTTATGGTATCTTGTGATATGCAGCTGTACAGTTGAAGTTGAGACTTGTACTCATTTGACATTTTGTACTCATTTGACATTTGTACTCATTTGACTCATTTGAATCATTTGTACTCATTTGAAATTTGTACTCATTTGTATTCATTTGACATTTGTACAGTATTGTATTGTGCAGCTGAAGCTGACATTTGTTGTGTTACGGTTGAACAGTTTATGAAGTGGATCTGAGAGTGAAAAGTACTTATCTATTAGTTTTAAGGTCTTTATATTGTTAACACGAAATGATACTTTTGATTGGGTGTGTTAAACCAGATTTAATACATATACACATTTTTTTGTGCAGCTCTTAGGGTAAAGATTTCTTTAAGGTGTTAAATCAAAAGCCTTAAAACAATTTTTTTTTAGGTTTTCCTTATATTCTTGTTTTGATTAATTAAATTTTTTTTCAGAAAAATTAGTATTAACCCGTCGTTATTTAGTAACCTGTCGTTGTTAGGAGTCGGAGTCGGTCACTACACACGACTCCACACCACTGTTAATAACCTGTCGTTGATTGGAATATTTTTAATATTTTGCAGAAGAAGTGTATAAATGTATAGTATTTTTTTTTGTTCTATTATTTAAAAAAGTAGTTTCTTTCATGGTTAAAAGTTACGTTGAAAAAGTAGGCACCTATACAAAAACAAGCCTTTATATAGGTTCGTCTCTATTCTTTTAGAAAAGCCTTTTTGTTAAACACTTCTATTAAAATTTTATGATCTATTTATGTGCTAGATTTTTTGCGCATCACAATCAGTCCGTCATTACGGATAAGAGTTATGTTGTTGGTATCAACAACTTTAGATTTCAATATATATAAACCTATTAACTTGCATACTATTACTTCATCAAAGCATTATAACGTCGCACCACTTGTTAGTTGACCTTTTTTTCCAGATATTATTGTTGTAAAACAACAAGAACTTTTTACAATTGTTAATAGGTTTGATTTCTTCTTCTAATTTTTGTATATTGTTACACAAATCTTATGTCATTCTTCTTTATAGTATTAGTGATGGAGGGAAAAATATTGGTATTGTTGAATTAGATAAAAATGTAGTGTTTCTTTTTTTCTATATTTTCAAACCTTTTGATAACTAAAGATTTATTTTTTTAATAGTTTAATTTTAATTTTTTTAAATGTACATATTTTTATTAAAATAAGTTTTATATATATTTATATAAATAAGTTGGAGTGAAAAAAATAGTTTGGTCTAGTACTGAATATTTTGTGTTTACCTGTAAATGAATAATAAAAATAAAAAAATTATTATGAGACATAGGCAACCGCCTCATTTTTATCTATAAACATCAGGCAAGGTCCCTTGTATTATAGAAAAAAAAATTCTTTAAAAGTATGCCACGCTGGGTCTAAAAAGAAACTAAATTTTATAAAAATTTCAAAAACTCATATTTTATAAAAACGTCTCTAAAAAATGTTGACTTGAAAAAACTAATGATCTAAATCCAAAATAGTTTTTGATTTGAAATTGTCAAAAAATTTCGCTTCTTTTGAGACCCAATATAATATACTTTTGAAAAATATATATTTTCTATAACAATAAGGACCAATCTGCTGTTTGAATCTGATGGTAAAAATGGGGCATTTCCTGTATATTTCATACCAGGTATGAATTGGCAAATAAGTACGGAGTATTGTGATAAAACTCATATTTTTGTTTATTTTTTATATTAATTTCTATTTCTTTATATGGAAAATACTCTAAGCTGGTTATTGTCTCTGCAACAAATATTCGGTTGTATTATTTTATTGTCAAACACATTATCCTTTACATAAGCAAACAACAATTTGAGAAAAAGAAACTGAAACAATTTCATAGAGCTTAGTTGGTTATAATATAAGAGTTTTAATTTTTTAGGTTACATTTGAAAATGTAAAAACACATGGTTTCTAAAAAATTATTTAATTTTAAGACATGAGATTTAACTTCGATAAGTTTGACCGTAACAAGATTAACAGCTTGGGATTCCCTTATGATTATGAATCAATGATGCACTATGATCAAACAGCATTTGGTGGAGGTCAGGTGACCATTCGCACTAAAGATCCAAGTAAACAAAAATTAATTGGAAATAGACAAGGGTTTAGTGAAATAGATAAACAACAGATTAACGCTATGTACAACTGCAATCGAGGTAAGAAATGTTTTTTTCTTTTGTATAATATTATGAGTGTGAATTGAATTTTCTTTTTAAACTATTTTATTTTCTGAAAAAAGTTATTTTATAAAAATGTGTAATCCTATAGGTGGATCAACTCTTCCCCCATCTGTTCCTCCTACTGTTTCTCCAGTAGCTCAATGTGTGGAAGGTCAAGATTTGGATAATAGATGCTTGGGATGGGCAACTTCAGGTTATTGCACAGCAACAGATCCTGCTCATTTGGAAACTATGAAAAAGAAATGCTGCAAATCCTGTAAAGGTAAGAAACTTTCATGAGTGGTATAAGTATTATAACTTATTACGGATAATGAAAATTATATAGATTAGTAACTTTAGTAACAATAGTTTTTAAACAACCATAAAATATGATTACATTTTTTTTTAATTTAATTTAGAAAGCGCTATATGTAACGACAAAAATACTCGGTGTGACGAATGGGCTAAAAAAGGTGAATGTAAAGCCAACCCAAATTGGATGCTTGGAAACTGTTCTAAATCTTGTCTTGTGTGTAAATAAAATATGCAATATTTATTTTTATAATCTGCACTCATTAGCTTATCATGAACAACTGGCTAAAAAAATAATAATAGTTTTGTTTTATTTTGAAAAATAACTTATTTGTTAAGAAGACCCAATGAAAAATTAATTAAATTTGGAAAATAGATTAAATACTATTTTGATGAAAGTTTAAAGTTATAATGTTTTGTGAAAAATGTGAAAATCAAAACAATGTAAAAGTAATTCATAGAATTTTCTACTTTTTAAACTTTTATACTTTTTATTTACCTTTAAATTAGCGTAGGTTTCTCTGCAACAGAATGCTCAAATTTGCTAAAATTTAAGTTTTTCATAATGATGTATATAACCTGAAGGTTTAGTTTATTCAAGATCATTTTACTTGATTTCTGGGCTTTTGTTTTCTTCTGTTTTACCAATACTTAGTACTGTATTTAACTGTAATAAGAAAACTATTCGACTGTTTTGTGAGCAAAAAAATAATACAAATAAAAAAATTTACAAGTGTTATACAATATTATTTGATTGTATTTAGTACCAAAAATGTATTTTGACAAACAGGATTTTGAAACAAAATGGTTTTTAAAACTTTGTAAATTGTGGACGTTGTTAAATAAGCAAATTGATTTTTAAATTGTGTTAAATTTGCAAATACGTTTTTATTTAATCATTTTAACTTATGCAATGAATTCAACTTTATTTGAACACAAATAATGTTAAAAAACCTTTAAACAAGTTTTTAAAATTTCAACATTGTCAGTGAGCAACATTGTCAGTGAGCAATAAGACAGACATTAAATTTTAAAAATCGTTTAAAAATTTGATGGAGTGATTTGGTGACTGCTATATTAGTATGTATCGCTATTATAAAATTATACGATTATTTGTACATTTTTAAGTTGCCACATGTGTAGCAACCTATTGGTAATTCATCGAACTTTCCGTTAAAAATAATATTAAGTGTTTCATAGTTTTTCGAAATAATTCTTAATTTACAATGCTTTAAATGTTCTTTGAACGTTTCTCAAAAACGAGAAAAATTAAAAAAATTGGGGAAAACTACCATTAACAATTTATTTAAAAATTTGGCATAAATAGTCATCATTCAATGTGTTGACTTCATTCCCATAAATAGCCATCATTCATTATGTAGTCTTCATTGCCATAAATAGCCATCATACATTGTGTCATCTATATTGACATATGGATGTCAAGTTATTTACTATAAGTTTATCTTAATTAAGAAAAGTTGTTAATAGTAACAGTTTATGTCACTTTGTTAAGGAAAAGACAATAGCTATGTGCTGTCAAAGTTGTTAACAACATAGCTGTTAATTAAATTTATCTAATTTAACTATTGAAATTATTATTCAAATATTTTCAAAATAGTTTGAAAATACATCATAAAATCTGGTGTTAAATGGTAATCAATATTGAAAGAACAGTTCATATATGAACTATATAATGAAAAATTTTTCAGTTTGAACTATATTTGGACCAATTTTGGATTCCATCCTTGGTAAAAAATGCACTTAAAGCCTGCTTTATCAACTTGCCAAAACTTACTATTGAAGCTATTTTCTAAGGAAAATTATCAACCAAAATTTCAAACGCTTTTCTGTAAGCTTTTGAAAGGCCAAATACTGTTCTAATAAAAGGCTGAAGCCAGTTAAAAATGTGTGCAGGCGACTTAATGATATGTATTTGTTTTTTTGTTTTTTTTTGTTTTGTTTTGTTTTTCATATTTTACATAGTTATATTCAAATTTATAACCATATTCCAAATGTTATTTATTAATTAAATTGATCAATTAAAAGTTTTTAAGAACAGAAAAGTATTTTGTGACATTACAAGCATGCAAATAGTAGCAGCTATACCGGTAATAATAGTCTAAATTGCAGCTTCAACAGTTAGACCAAAACTTTTAAAAATGGTTTTAAAAATTTAAAACTTTTAAAAATTACACCTACGGTGTTTTTATTAAAAATGGTTACACCTACGGTGTTTTTATTAAAAATGGTTACACTTACGGTGTTTTTTAGATATTGCAGTTATTGTTGATAACTACGAATTCAAACAGAAATTTGTTATAAAGAAACATTCATGACTACTTAAACTTTACTTTCTATATTAAAAAGAATTTCTTAAAATTTAGCGAAAAAAGTAATTGTTTTTACATCTAATTACACTATTAAAAAGTTACGAAATAAATAAAAGATTGTAATTACTGTAGCAGTAGACTGTTTTTGCAACTTTGCACATTCCACGCCACCATATAAAAAATTTTTTTTTTTTAATCTTGAGCAATTTTTTAGTGCTTCAAATTAGGGCTTTGAAGCAGCTTCGGAGCTGGAGCCGAAGCTATTCGAAGCAGGTGACTTTACATGGAGCTGAGCCGGAGCTGGAGCTAAAATACTACCTGTCGGAACTGGCTCCGGAGCCATCTCCAAGTCAGCTCCACCCTAATGATATTTTGAAATATCAAAATTCCATAAAGTTATTAATTTACATATTGGGATTTTTTTAAAGAATTTAAACAATTATGCTCATTAAAGTATTTATAATATTTAAATAATGCATTTTTTCATTTGGTTTATAGAAAAAAAAAAAAAAAAAATTTTTTTTCAGAATTAAATTTTTATCCAATTATTTTGCGTAATATGGTTTAAATATCATGTGGTTCTTATTGTAGAGTATGATAAGTTACTTTAAAATAATACTTCTAAACAATGTCAAAGATTGGTTAAGGGGTTGTCCATAAAGTATGTAAGCTTTTTTTAACCCTCCCTCCCCCCCTCACTGCATCCTTTATTTCGCTTTTCACTTTGAGTACCCTCTACCTCCCTAAAAGTACCTGCCCTTTTAATCTACCTACTTAAAATTTTATGATTTTTTTTTAATTTAGTGTCTCCTTACTTTTATAATTGACCCCTCTTCTCCATTCGAGCGTACTTTATGTACAATCCTTTATGTACGTACTTTATAGACGATCCTTAACGAAAAAATACTTTTCCTATGTGTTAAGTCACATGATTTGTTTTAACGTTTTTAATAAGTTGAAACATTTTTAAAATAGATTTAAACATGTGAGTTCAAAACAAAGTTAGAAAAAGATTTTAAACTTTTTTTTTTTATATTATTGATATTACTTTTGTTTATACTATATTTTTTATTATTTCTTTTATCTTTAATATTTGGTGCAGTCACTCGACAACAAAATAACTCTTTGGAAATAAATATTCAATATTATTATGCAAAAAAATATTTAAACCTGTTGCAATCAAAAAAATGGTGGAAGGTACTCTATATAGATTTGTTATCAGCAATGATCAAATGGTATGTCCAAGTGTACACAATGCAGCCAATATGATTAGTGTAATCACAATTTTACACAAACATTCAGGTTATGAAAATTTTTGAAATGAAGCTTTGGATGATTAAGAACAAGTGGAATTTTTACAACAGGATACAAATGAAGAAGAAAGTGAGGAAGAAAGCTCAGAAAGAAAATATAGCTTTTATCAATCCAAAATGGTGTCAACAGTTGTCTAATGACATTAAGCTGATGCGCTGTGGCAAACGTCCGCTATGTTGTAAAGAAACTAAGAAACTCACATAAAATATTTTTAGCAAGGAAGCAATACAAGGTTGTTTCAATTTTGGAAAATGAAACACGCTGTGTTCTACATTCCACTGTGTGAGCAATTTGCTGCAGTTGACCAGGTATTCTTTCTATGACCTGAAATACGGGATAAACCTAGTTATCTTGCGATCTTTTAAAAAAGCTATATGATGTTACAGTTAATCAACATTACTCTAGAAAAACTCTTAAAACAATGGTTGAAATTGAAATCTGATCTAGGAATAATCAAGGACTATTTGCAGAAGACATTTCAAAATTTATGCAGAAAAGAGATGCCAAAAATGTAATGGAAAATCAAGAAATATGAAATACTGCTGCGCTATCAGTACTTCTTTCAGTTTTAAGTGAATCTAATTCCGATGAAGAAGAGGATGAGTTTGAAAAGGAGCTTGATAAAAAAGAAAAAAGGAGAATTATGACCAAAGTTATTTTTGGTCGCACTTCTTTTTTTAACTTTTTTTATAAAAATACTTTTAATACAAATGTTTTGGATGACTGTAGGATAATGAAAGAAATGTGACGTTCCAAAATAAATTCAACTTTTGCGGGAATTAAAGAATACCCAAAAAGAATACAAGAAGCATGCAGAGTTTTCACTTGTATACCTATTTCACAAGCAAGTGTATAGAGGCTATTTTCTGCTCTTAAGTTTGTATCGAGTAATCTGCGTTCTTCAATCAAACCTGATATTTTAGATATCAGGTTTGAGTGAAGAACATAAAGCCTCAAATTTAATGACGATTATGTTTGCAGATGACACGAACTTATTTTTATCTCATAATGATATTACATTATAATTTCAGAATATCAATAATGAACTAGTAAGAGTTTCTGATTGGTTTAAGACAAATAAACTGTCTCTTAATATTGATAAAACGAAATGGATTTTTTTCCATCCAAATCACAAAATAAATCTTATACCAGATGCTTTTTATTGACAATATACTTCTAAAAAAAGTAACAGTTACAAACTTTCTTGGTATTTATATTGATAAAAATTTGTCATGGAAAAGTCACATACTTAAACTATATTATTCGCTCATTCATTGTCACATAAACTATGCGAACATTGCGTGGGGTAGTACTAATAAAAAAAAACTAGAACCTAATTATCGTCAACAGAAACATGTTGCACGCCTTATTAATTTTAAGGATCGATTTACTCATGCCAAGCCTCTATTAATTGAAACGAAAGTTTTAAATACATATGAGCTTAATATTTTTAACATTTTATGCTTTATGTTTAAATGTAAAAACATTATTTCTCCTGTACCTTTTCATAATTTGTATAACAAAAAAGAAAAAACTATATAAAAAACTGTATAACAAAAAAGAAAAAAAAATATATATATATATATATGTATATATATATATATATATATATATATATATATATATATATATATATATATATATATATATATATAT